ATAAGGTTACCAAGGGACCAAAGTAGTGCCAAAGTGCACAAGATCACAATTTTAGGCAGTTTGGGGCAATTTTGAGGTTCTGGACATCTTGAATCGGTTCAGCCCCATTGAACCAGTTCAAGGGGGGATCTTTGGTTTAAGAATGGGCACACTACCCATCTTGAACCGGTTCAGTGGGGCTGAACCGGTTCAAATCCCCCAGTGCACTATTTTATCTTCTTCAGTTGACAGCTTGGAACACTTGACTTCGGACGGTCATAACTTCTTCGTCCTGAACCCGAATAGGGTCATTCTTGAGTCTATTTTCAAGGTTTTTGAGTTAGATTTCTTATGAGACCAACCTCAGCCTAAAATTCCATTCATGTTGAGAGTTATGATCGTTTTAGTGGAATAGTGTCGGAATTTCTCTTGAACCGAGTAAGGGTACTTTGGGAATTCATATATGATGATCGTAGAACCTCTTAGAACATCATGGAATGTCTAGAATAATTTTTTTAAACTTTATTTGACTAGTTTAAGGTCTTATTATCCTCTCACATTGTAAAATGACTATTTTACCCCTAGTGTGTCCTCGGGTTTGGTTAAGGACCCGGTTAGCGATCCGGACCCCCGGTTTGGGTCGTTACAAACTTAATTATGTCTTTTTAACTTTCCAACGACTCGCCTTAATTATCATCATTAACCAAAAAAGGTGGTAGCATGCCTTACCTTATCAATGTACAGGCTTCAAAAGTGACTATATATAGAGAGAGAGAGAGATATACTTGTTGCAACAACTTTACTCTTTTCCTTCTTTTCTCAAAATTTCCCCTTCTTCTTGCGATCTCATGGCCCCAAGAAGATTAAATCCTCTGATACTTCTTTCCCATCTCATGGCAGCATCATTGAGAAATCCCTCAAAACTATATCGACCAACAAATTTCACCTCAAAACTCTTATTGATCTCCCTTCTGACTTCAAGGGTTTGGGTCCTGCCTTCCTTAATAAAGCCCCTCAATTTCTCTCCCCCTTTGATCATATCTGTTGTACTACCATTCCTTCAAAAATTTCTTCTTAACGAAAAGGGCCTTTGCCCTTTTTTCATTTTAGAACGTGGTACGCTTCTAATGATGCTTGGATCAATTGGGTTGTTCGTGTTACATCTGTGAAATGAGATATTTAAAGAAGCTATGGCATTTATGATGCCATACAGCTAAGAAAAACAAACACCACCCAAGACTGATCCCTAGTTCTTGGCGCTATTTTCCACTTGTCAACCACCACAAACTTCATACATTTCAAGTATGGCATGATGGCACCTACATTTCAAGACTTTTGCTATTTGACTAGGCTGAAACCCTTTGGGATTGAGGTGAATTGCTTGCTAAGGGAGGAAAATTTCCCTTTTACCTTTCCTTCCAAAACCACTAGCGCCAAGACATCCGAATCCTCATATGGTTAGTTTTACTCTCTTCCAATTGATGATTTTGAGCATATTGCTTTTCTTTTGGCATGGCTGAACAAAATTTTGATGTTTGTTCTGGTTACTCAACTCAATAAAGATTGACTTGATTGATGTGGCCGTTGCTCTTTCTCAGGGCAAACTTCTTGGTTTAGTCCCTTTGGTGCTTTCGCATTTATGCAGAGGTATTTATGACTTGTTGAATTCCGACTTTTCTAGTTATGGTGGTCCCCTTTGGTTGTTTCAAATCTGGTTGCAACTATATTTCCCAGAGCTTGACCTATTGTAAGGCCATCAGCCAATGACCCACTAATCTATGTAAGTTATGCATCGGCAGTTCCTAGATTGCATTTGTTTGGGGATTAATTTAACTTCTATTATACTGGTTGTGAATGTAGACCCATTAGCCAATTTCTCCCATTTTTTCACTATACCCAAGCTCCTCATTGGCTGCTTCCCCATTCTGGTGTATCAACCAAGAAAACCTCTAATGAGTTAACGGCCATGGGGCCAGTTTTTTGCTTGCTAGAGATCTTCACTTTAACACAGGTCCCTTAGGAACTATAAGCACCAAAGTTGGATTTGAATTCTACAATCCCAGATAACTTGCTTCTAATGTTTCTCATTTTTTTATTTCCCGGGATTTTTTGATTTTTCAGATTATTTTATTTTCTCACCTCGTTTTACGTACTGGATACCGTGAGATGTGCAAGGTGAGTTCTGAGAATTGGTTGGAGTATTTTTTTCGAGTTCAGGACTCTTAAAAATGCATTATTGGCCATTTTGACGTTTTTCAGATTTTCGGGTCAGGAGGTCCCGGATGGGACCCGTACTAGGATTTTTCGTGCGCGGGTAGTCTTTTGGGACCGTAAGCATTCAATTATATTTATTTAGTGTTTGTTTATGTGATTATGTGTTTGAATGTGTGTTTATAGTGTATGTACATGTGTATAGAAGACAAAGAAGGCTTTTTTTTTTTTTTTTTGTCAAGTAGGGCCCACTTAACCAAACCCTTTGGCAAAAAGGGGTAGGATCCTTTTTTCTTCCTCTAATCGCAGCTCTCTCTTACCCTGCGCATTTCCTTTTTTTATTTTTTTCTTTTGAAAGCTTCAAGCTCCGATTTCTCCACCTTTCGTCTAGATTTAGACTTTGCCATTGAAGTCAAATTAAGTTTATGAGCTCAACGAGGGCTATGAGTTGATCAGAAAGAGGCCATTAATGATTAGGAGCCCGGGTTTGGGTCGTTACAGTTCGAGAACCATAGAATACGCCCATCCATAGGAAAATTGGATCTTTTGATCATAAATCAGACTAAACCACAGCGTGTATGTTGGGAAATGACCTTTTTAAATTAAGTGGAAATGTGTAATTACCCAAGCTTTTGTTCATGTATAGAATTTTGGGTTTGATAAAAATACATGATGATACATACATATACACATCTAGATACATACATATAAACTTACACTCATCCACATTAATATAAAGCGTCTCATAAAACACATATTTAAGAATATGAGAGACAGAAAATGATATACAATCCATTAAATATGCTATACTTGGGCATACTAAATCAACAGTGTAGAACATCCAAGACCTTTAGGGCTAGTTTGGTAGGTGGGAATGGAATGCTTTTAATTCCATTATTTTGTTTGGAAAGTAATTTTAAAGATGGAATGCTCATTCTCCACCTTTCTCGGAGAATGGTCATTCCATTAAAATCATTCTACTTTCTAACAAGAGGAATGGGCATTCCATTCCCACTTAAAAAATACGGAGTAAAAATAATATTAAAAATTACTTCTCTTGAACGATGTGATTGCTAACACACTTTTCTCAAACAACTCAAGCCCCATTAATTTTGCATCAGAAATCGACATTGAAGGTGATCTATGTTAAACAACATTGAAGACCAAATCAACCATTGAGGGCGGTCAACACCGAATCCGAAATCAGTGCAAAATTAGCCATTGAAGTCGATTAACGATCAATCCGAAATCAGTCGAAAATTGACCATTAAAGTAGATTGATGATCGATCTGATATCAGCCGATGATTTGGCAATTTACATCCATTGAAGTCGATCAACGACCAATAAGCCGACGATTTGCATCCATCGACAGTGATCGGGGATAAAGCACTGACATATGTTGATGAGAGAGATGCATATCTTTGAGATTATATTCTTGACTAAAAATGAGAGTAAATTTCCATCTCGATGAGAGAGATCTAATAAAAGGCAACTTCTCTTGATATTCTCTCCTTAGTTTCCAAATATACATCAAAAATATATATTTACACACACACAAACACACACACACACACACACACACACACACACATATATATATATATATTATTGTTTTGGTTTATATATATATATATTGGTTTTCCTTTTTAAGCCATGCATAACCAAACGAGAGAATGGGAATGGTATTCCATTCTTATTTCATTCGTACAATTGAAGGGTAGATCAATATTTTTGAAAAACTTCGTTAATGAATCTGACAGTAAAATAATTGGGGGTGATAACACACGTCTAACCTCAGGGGTATATGGTGTAATAAACAACAAAAATGGTTACTGTGAGTAATTAGACCAAACCTCAGAGGTGGTCAATGTAGTTTACCCTACATCAAAAAGGCCCAACCATCTACCATACATAGTGTACGTGTGTGTATGTTACTAGAAAATCCCTCGATCTCTCTACTTTCAGTACGTTTTCAGAGATGGTCAATATAGTTTACCCTATATCAAAAAGGCCCGACCCTCTATCATATATAGTGTACGTGTGCGTGTGTTACTAGAGAATCCCTCGATCTCTCTATCTTCAGTTTTTGTTATTATCTTATTACATATATATTAGATTAATTTGCGGATTATTTTCTCGGTAGCTTGACACAGGACTGCTACATCTTGTTTATCTTTGGACATGTGATGAGAAGACCACTAGTTGATATGAGTTGTATTTTGAAACCGTATTGGACCGTTCATATTTGCACGTAAGGAGGCCATATAACTTTCGAATAATGCCTAACATGCCTCTCTTTTATCAATTTCAAACTTATTTTATTATTTTCATTTTTTTTTTTTTTTTTTTTTGGTCTTAGTTATTTTATTGTACGTTGAAGTATTTATTCTTTGTTATTTAATTAAAATTCAATGTCTTTCTGTCTTCATCACACCATATTTTTATTCAGTTGGAAAATTGAAAATTGATGTATTATCTGATAGCAATAAAATTCTCTCACTTTTAACCAAAAAAAAAAAAAAATTCTGTCACATTTTTTTTTTTTTTTTATCCTGTTGCATTATGTGTGCATTTATTTTCTTACATAGAAAATTTATGATGGATGAGTTCAAAATATATTGGAATTAATGCATCAAAAAAATTCTATATTACAATTTTTCCCGCAGTACCAGTTCACCACTTTTATTTCAATTGCGCTTATTTATGTTAAATTTTGGTTTATTTCCAACATGTTAAAATGCAGGTTAAATTTATATCTGACTTGATAGTAGATGGAAAAGAACTATCACAAAGGTATATAATGTGCTCCTCAAATTTTGCCAAAGACAATCTCAACCCCATCAACTGGTTTTGGATGTGGAAGATAACTCATCTCTGCACTGGGATTCACCAGTTCCCACCTGATATTCAATCAAAATCAGACAGTTATCTATTCTTCTATGACATCAAATTAAAGCTAAAAGCATAAAGGTGTACTTATATATATATATATATATATATATATATATATATATATCTAATAGAGCTGGTTTCTTACTTGTATCCTATGGCCAAATGATGAAGAAAAATGGCAATTTGTAAGCGAGCAAACATATTTCCGGCGCAGATTCTTTCTCCCCCGCCAAAAACTTGATATGTTCCTGGCTTCGCCGGTTTCTGAAAAGTACTAGACATTAGATCAGGTTTCCAAATTGATAATCATTATGAGCCTATCTGGTTTACTTTAAAGAAAATAATTCTCAAGAATTAAAAATATATATGTATATATTTATAGAGAACTATAAAAGACGATTCACCAAATGGGCCATATAACTTACATTCCATCTATCCGGGTTAAAGCAAATGGAATCTTCAAAGTTTTCTGGATTTGTGTGGAGGTATCTAACCCAAAGCAAAACTTTCTAGTTTTTAGGAATTTTATAACCTGAGAAACATCTAAAAATTGTATCATAAACAGTTAAAACAAAGCTATATCATAAAATCATTGTCAGGGTAATATAAATAATAGATCCCTTGTATCTACATTTGTTCATCATGCTAATCAAGATTTTCTTTGCACATTAAAAGAGCCTGAAATCATATACAGCAAGTGACATTTTGTTAAAGGCACTGAGCACAAATTATGGCACTCACAATGGTGTACATAACAGCCAAGGCTCATAGTACTGCAGCTATATATGAACACAATTTGATTTTTACCTTTGTACTCGACATCCTTGCTAGCTGTTGGAAACGTAAATGCTGAGATGTTTGCCAACCTTATCGTTTCTTCCACAACCTATATCAAAGAGAAATGAAGTAAAACTTACCGAAAAAAGAAAAGAAAAGAGAAATGAAGTAAAATTAATTTTCTCTAAGCTTGTCAGGCAAGTTGAAGAAAGTACTATATATTATTAGTTCTATTCTCAAGATGACAAAAATCATAACTAATGAACACGAATTGATGAATTGGGATCCTTGTGAGATCACCCTATATGGGATCTCAACTTTACAAGCAAAGCGAACCCCACCTCAGACTGAGTGATCTCCACCCTTCTTTGTGGAGAATATTAGTGTTCAATAAATACCTTGTTTGTATATTCCATTTTTGAAATTTCGTCGCTCGTGATGAACTTCCCATTCTTGTTATTGCTTAAAGGTATATGCTCCTCCTGCATTACAATTGAGAAACTTAAGAGACTGGAAGAAAAATATTACTTCAATATGTGACCATATTTTAAGTCATACTGTAAGCATCTCTCCGAAAAAAGGAAGGCCCATGTGAGCGGGAGGGAGCTTGGTGCCGCTAGCAGAACACCGGGTTTTAACTGGGAGGCCATACCAGAGATCATTCCACCGCCACAAGAGCCACCCTACCAGTGACACAACTCCTAGTACCCATGCCAACCCCATTGTAACTTCCATATCTTTCTCCACCTATCACCTTCTTTAGTACAGATAGTCCTTTTCACGAAGTTGATACATCTATATGGGCCAATGATATAGTACTACTTTATACTAGTACTTAATTGCATTTAATGATGAATGATTCCTGGTGAATTGTTCTCCTGATTGATAGTGCCGTCACACACAGTTAATAGCTATACTTTAGAAATTGGTTTAATCATGAATGATTCCCGCTGATTATTCGTGGATCTGATTGATTAAGACAAAACCTTACCCCACCTAAACGAAGTAAACAAATAGATAAAAGGTGCATAGGATAATGATATATAAGATCTGAAAATGTTGTTAGGATAAGGGAGCGACAAAATTAAATATGTTGATTAGTGTAGGTCTTGATGGCTACATGACTAATATGAAAGGCAAAGCACGTCGCCTGATTGGAATCTTGATTATGCATGTTACTTTCTTATTAGGAGAAAGTATCCCCGGGGCTACTTGCAGGATGTTGCCTCGACTAATGTGAAAACTAAATTTGTCTTGATATACAAAAACATAAGACTTTCTTCTCTAACAGAGGATATAGTGGTCGTAATGATTGTGGAGAAGCCGCTTGTGATAAATCACAATATGAATTTAGAAAATTGACACGACATGACATCGATTTATTAGTAAGAATTTTTATAAAATATGTGGATTATCATAGACATTATATTTTGGTTTGTGAAATATCAAAGCAGTGTTTGTTTTTTGGAGTGAAATATCAAACTAGTTGAACTGCTTGATACAAAGACTAGACCAGATGAGTTTATTATTATTCATTGTCGCTAAAATCTATGCATCTTGGTGCACCTTAGTTACGATATAATCGCATACAGTCATTATAAGATTTTCTAGTAAGTGTGGACTATAAGGGGTTGAGTCATAGTCTCACTCAATTAATTAGTTGGAATCTCCCTATTAGACTTGGCAACATAAAGTAAATATTAGAGAGTAGAAGACCCTCTTCTATCAAGAATTGCAAATCCAATTTTCTTTTTCAACTCTGATGGATATATGTATGTCTTCATTTATATTTGTATACATTGGGTACGATTAGGGTAAGGTTTACATGAAAACTGTTATTGTTGGTATTAGAGCCATGAAATATTATTTTAATATTTTCGGATTGAAATAATCATAATGTTCATGCTATATAGCATGAAATTCAGTATAACACCAGAAGTACCAACATTTCACGTTGCTAACACGCTTCAAGATAGCATCTATCACCACCCGTTTTTCCTCTCGTTGTAGGGGGCCTCTGTGTTTTAGAGTTTCTCTATCCAATCAGAGCTAGTGTTTAGTGTTTGGTCTTGCTTTTGGGGAGTTATTGGTGACTGTTTCTTTCTGTTCGTCTAATCTCTTTGTTGTTTGACTGTGTCTCTACTATTAGATTCGCTATGTCGCATATGTTTATAGTTATTCTTGGTTTCGTTATGGTGGAGTATCATGCCGTTGCGGAATTTTCTGTTTTATTTCCCTTTGGGTCTTTCTATTTTGAAAGTTAATTGGATATATGATTGAATAGGGTGGGTTTATGGTTCGTGTGATTGAGGTTATGGTAGTATTTCTAGTCTGTAGTTTTATTACTCTCCTGCTGGGTCTTGATCGAATTTGGACTGTCCAGGGATCTGATTTTTTGGCTAGTGGTGAAGTATTACGGTGTCGCAAATTGCTGTTGGGTATCCTACAGGGATCGTCAATAAGGGTTTTATTCAGATTTGCTGCTCTGAAGCTTTTTCTATTTTTGTATCGAGTGTGGAGCATAACTGGGTTGGTGATGCTGATCGTTCCCAGTTGTTGGTGTTCTCTAGTCGAGGTATTCAAAAACCAGCAGTCTTTGGGATGGTTGGTGGTTAGGTCTCATTGGCCAGCGACGTATTTTACCGACTGGGGGGAGTGATGTTGCCGACGTGTACTCTGGAAGATTCGTTGTGGAGATTGGTGGGACATGGGCACGTACGGCTTCGAGCTCCATTTCTGGCCCCCACATTAATTATGATTCTTGGTCAGGTAACCCACATAGACTTTGTTCACCACATCCTGTACTGTGTGGTCACGGGTAAGCAACGTCTTCTATATGCTTTCTTTTGTGACGTCATCCTTGGTAAATGTCATTGGTTTCTAATGCATTTAGTCAAATTTCTCAAAGCCTTTAGTTGGTTTAGTGTATCGGTTAAATACTTTGGCATATCCATTACGCCAGATCAGTAAACCTTTTATCTTGTGTCTGAGGAAGCATTGGGGGTAGTTAGTGCTCGTTTTTTAATCCATTTCTATCCCCCACTATTGTGGCCTCTACGGAGCCATGTATAGTTGATCAGTTTTGTGGGCTAACGTTGACAGAGGCCGAAAAGGAACCAATTTTCTTATTGGTTGATGATACTGCTTAAAGCATTGAATTGTGTCGTCGTAGTCTTTTTGGTAAGATCTAGGCCTCAAAAACTACTACTTTGGTTAGGACTAAGTATACCTTTAGTAAATTGTTCAACAAAATTATGGCCAAAAAAGAACCAATAGGAGCCTCTGTCTAAGCGAATTAAGGTGTTTAAGGTTATGGGGAATCTTTTCAAAATCAACATCAATGGAAACTCTATTTGCCAGTGAATTATAAATGGTTGCTCGTGATTGTTTAACGATCATCTGCTCGTGATTAAGGAATTGGAGGAAGGTTTGCTTCTCTCTGATTCCCCTTTTCAGCTTTCACCTTTCTGGCCTCAAATCTTTGATGTGCATGCCAATTTTCTTTCCGCGAAAGTGGGGCAATGGATTACTGATAATCTGGGTTCTTGTTTATAGGTGGAGCTGCGGGATAAGGGCATGTTTGAAGGTAAAGAAAAATTGCTAGCTGATAATAGGGTTCTTCGCTTAAAAGTCAAATTAGATATTACTAAATCTCTTCGACATCATGTTTTGTTAACAAACCCCTTGGGTTTGGAGTTTTGGGCTCAAGTGCACTATGAGAAACTTCATTCCTTCTGTTTTGCTTGTGAGAGTATTGGTCACCACTGGAAGAGTTGCCCGTTTAACACAAATCTCTCTCCTATGGATTTGAAGGAGTATGGGTTGTGGTTAGGAGTGGAAGGATTTCTTGGCAAGGGTCTTTGGAATCCGAACAGTGATCGAATTGACTCTTCGGTTAATGGTCATGGCAAAAATTGGCTTTATGTGGAGGATGGGGACTCGAATGGTGGAGAAGAGACTGGGATACCTAAGTCCTTTTCTTTCCCTTGCTGTTAATTTGCCGGAGTGGCTGTGTGAGTCTCGCCATTTGTTTGGGCCTCCTGATGTGTGTCAAGGAAATAATTATTTGGATAAATCGGATAATGTGGCGGTGGCTTTATCTACCATGGGTGGGCAGACAATGTTGGTTGTTGGTGATGGTCGAGGGGACTATTCTACTGGTAATGTGGATCTCCATGGTCTAGCTGCAAAAGAGTTCAAGGGAAAGGGCTAGCTGAGGAGTTTGTTGCGATTGATGCTTCTATCCATGGCTAGGATGGAAGAATGGTACAAGGCTCTTCATCTCAAAGTCATGTGGCATCCGTGCAAATTGAGGAGCCTATACAATGTGATCTTATAAGATCCCACGTTAGGGGAAGAGTTTTGCCTTTGACTCGATGGGATCAGATGACTGAGGCTTGGTCGAAAGGTAAGGAGCTGGCAAAGCCATTTATGAGGAGACAATCTGCTAGTTCAGCCTCTTCTCAAAGTCAGGGATCTTCTCTGGCACGAAAAGGTCGAAAGCGATGACAAACTATTTCAGGTGGTTCTCAGGGTACTTGTAATCCAGGAGGGAAGAAACACAAAGCAATGGTGGTTCCACTAGAAGTCTGTTTGCAGCATGAGCAGTTATCTTATGGTGCTATGGTAAGTCATCATCAATCAAACTCCTCTGGTAAAATTGGTGCTCAAAATGGTGAATCATGTAACTCAAAATCGTCTCCATCTCAATCTTTTACTACACAGCTTGAGTTGCTTGTAGGGGATGACCAACTCGGATTATCTGAAACTAGTTGAAGATTTGGGTTATTGTCAAGGCCGTTGCCTTGAGTTTTTTGGTGTTGGTTTCGGGTAGTTGTTTGGGGGTTCCTAGTTTTGTCTTGACTATGTTCTAGATCTGTTGTGTTTTAGTGGGTTAAATGTTTGTGATGCTTTCTCTATAAGTGACGTTTGGCTTGTTCTTATTGTTATGAAAAAAGAGAGCATGAAATTCAGTATCATATGCCGTTTGGGGTTGGTTCAAGTTGGAGTTCTTTCATGGGATGTGCATTGAAGTCAAAACAGGGAAGTTTTAAAGCTAGAATTTCCATTCTGTGGCCAACTTGGATCGGACCAAATAAAATGGACCGGTCCAAGTGTAGTTGTAGGTGTCCATAATTGAGTTATGCTGAATTTGGACCCGTTAGCCCTTTGTTCACTCTTTTCAAGCCAAAAATGAAGGGGAATTCTTAGTGACTTGCTTGGGATTTTCAAATAGGGATTTTTAAGGGATGTTTTGGGGATTAAGTGAATGGTTTTAACTATGACTTTGAGTTAAGGTCTCCTTGCATCTTTTCTTTTCCATCCTCGTATCTTTTTAAACTTAAATCGAGGCTAGTCGGAAACACTTTCGTAGAATCTTTTCAAAATGAGTTTCAAGTTTCACCAATTGATTTTATATGTATAAAATGACTAAAATAGACTTCATTTGATTGTTGAAAGGTATTATACTCTTTTCCCTTACCTTGTTACCACATAGCAATGTGAGGTCACAACGAGCTAAGTAGAGTAGGTTACAATCTTTCATCCTTCCATTGTTACATGCTCATTGTGAGATATATTTTTGTAATTGGTATATTTTGATAACAAAACAAGTCCTAGTTGAGTTGTAATTTTAGTTACCATATCAAAATCGACATCGACTGCGGAATTAGAAGATTGTTCAGAAGAGGAAAGTATTGTTGATCATCGAAAAGGAAATAACA